AAATTCAAGAATTATGATGGAATAATTTAATTTCAATGAATTATGTATACTATATACATTTTTCGGACTATCGTCCTCATCTTTGTTGCCATATTTATTACAAAGTTTTAACCATTGTACTCTCCAGCCTTCTTCAGGTTGTTGGAATGTCGAAGAATGCCGGAGTGTACAACGGCCAAAACGTTGTGATAAATATGGTAACAAAGATGAGGACAATAATCCGAACAATGTAAATAGTATACATAATACCTCATTGCAGAAATATAGACAGGTATGCAATGAATTATGTTATCATGTAGCTTCAATTATGCGTTTATTTTACTTATATAAATACAGTTTTTCCACCTCCTATCTTTGTTTTTAGTCTGGCTTCAGTTATGTCCCATATGCGAAACACGCATGGGCAACCATGTTTCTGTCGATTCATGAACAGGCAGAATATTTTCCCGCGATAGTTTGCCATTCGTTTTTGCAGTCGAATTAAGCTAAGGCTTAAGACCCAGTCTATATTGCTATTCAAGAGAAGGGGGAATATGGATTCATACCATACCCAAGGGTATTTGTGTGTAAGGGATTTTAACGAACCCGATTGGAATTCAAACTGGGTTTTAAGGTTTTCTATTGGCGATTACACCACACTGCACATAATCTTCTGGATCAGTGTTCAACAAAAAAAAAAAACGCAAACTCTTTCCTGACAACGTTTTGTTTCACCATTGATCAGAAAGAATGCAGATGATGTCCTCGTGACAACATTTGCATATTTCAGTATCATACGCCTTCGTAAATTTACGGCGCGTAAAAACATTACACTTTCCAACATTTCTATTAGTAGATTGTAGGGGACGTGCAGGATTGTTAGTTATTTAAGAAAGAATCAGAAGGATATTCTTTTTGGTCCTGCATCCCCAACAAATAAACGAATAAAACTTTAAATGTAAACAAGAAAAACGAGGCATATATAATTAAGAAACAATACAACATTTATATACAAAATCATCATTTACAATTGGTCAAAATCTGTGTGTGTCGTGTGCGTAATTGTATGTGGTATGGTTTAGATATTGAATGTGTCTTGTTTGATAATTTTCTTGTTTATGTCGAAGATTGTAATATGAAGGATAGTGGTTTTGTGAAAGAGTTTTTGGAGTAGTCTACCCGTAATCGTATTTTTAAGACTGACTGTATGAAGTTGGTAATTTTCTTTAACGTCTGGTCAGCGATGACTAAAACGGGAGTCGGTGAAATGTTACATCTTGAAAGTTGGTAATTACAGCTTCTCCGCTTCTCGGAAGGTTCAAACGTTTTTCCTTATATATCCACCGGGTGACTCACTTGAATTTGGCGCAATTTCAGTTTTGCACGTGAACTTAAAGTGATTGACCAATGGGGTTGCTTGCTTCGTTTCCTGCCGTTTTTATTGGTCGAAGCTTTTAGGTACCTAGGCGTACGTTTTGGACTCTGTTTTTGTTAGGTTGGAAAGGTAAGGATAATGGATGAGTCCACAAGATCATCATACTGTTCTTCAGCCAATTCCTTCGCAGTTTGGGGTAGCTTTTAGTTTTGTTTTTCGTTGATAATTTTTATCCTGATTCTGTCATTTCAAAACTTTTAAGAGTATCTGTTAGTATTTCTTGTTCTATCAGGTATTCTCACAATTTTCTTCTTGAGTCAGTTTATTTAAGAAATGAACAGTTATTATTTGGTGTTAAGTGACTTGACTCAGACCGGCTCCCTTGTATTACGGTATTCGAGGTCAGTGGAACAACTCCGGTGAAATTAATAGTTGAATTCTTTATTGCAGTGGTAAATGTCACACTCCCATTATCAACCTTACCTTATTTAACTGTGGGAATGCCGTGTTGATCGTTTAAAAAAAAAATAGAAAAACGCTCACTCGAATTCCATCCACGCTCAACACCTGAATCCTCTGAATAAACATTCCTACTAGAAATCAAGACATCGCAAAAAATAAAATATATCTTAAACAATGAAAACATGGAGAAAATTTAAGAACATTTCACTTTTACTAAAACTCCAGAGAATGATATATGAAGAAAAAGAAAAAAAAGAAAAAAAAGAAATTCTGATATTTTTACTTTTGTCTTTGATTTTCATTGGTTACTAAATTTTCATCTATAGTCGAATTGTATAGTTTAGTATAATTTGTCACTATCCGAAGTGTTGAAACAAAATGGCTATTTTTGTAGTGATTTTATAACATATTTATGTTATAATTTTTTAAATAAATAATTATATTTGCTCTACTTTGTATTGAGCACTCTTTTAAGAATAGTAATTGTTGGTTATTGGAATTTATTTCGTATACACCAATCCTATACTTGTATATATATATATATATATATATATATATATATATATATATATATATATATATATATATATGTGTTATATTACTGAAGTAATATAACATGATATTTTATTTTCGTCTCGTTGAGAAAGGACACAAACATGTCCCAAAATTCAGATTTTAACATCTTCCTCAACATGCTTTGGTCAAAAGACGAATAAATATAAAATAAATATTATTAGTTTTCTTATCAAAATTATTAATTTTGTTGATTTTTTATCACACAACTTTTCTTCAACGGTCGAATATATATATATATATATATATATATATATATATATATATATATATATATATATATATTATTTTTTAAAAAAAATTATAACATAAGTATGTTATAAAATCACTACAAAATAGCCATTTTGTTTCAACACACTCTGTGTCTTATCAAGTGATGATGTTGAAAATAAAATAAATGGTTTTAAAAGTTTCAGATTAATTAACGATCCTACACTAGGGGGAAACATATATATAGGTGTGTGTGTGCCTTTTGCGATAGATTAGTTACGACTGAGTAGTGGGTTCGATACACAATGTGCGCTCCTTAACCTCGGCCTTGTGCCACAACTAACCTATGTTTAGTAAATCATTATATATGTGTGTATGTATCAAATATTTATGATAAGATATTGAATAGGAATATAAATATACGCACACAAGAAGCATGAATACGAACTTATGAAATATATATATATATATATATATATATATATATATATATATATATATATATATATATATATATATATATATATATATATATATACCTTTTTAGTGTGTTTTTTTCTTCCTTACGTTTATAGAGGAATGAGTGTCTGTTAAACATCAGTGCATCTGCGTGAGTGTTTACAGAAAAGTCGTTCAGAAGCGAATAAAGACTCATAAAATTCTTACTTTAACTCAATTATTTTGTTTTGTAACTTTTTGTTTCCTGCACTTGGCACCCGATCGATATTAACAGAATTATTATGAGTTCAAGCCTTAGCGTTCCACCGTTCTTCCTGGTGAGTCAATGTGGAGTGTCTCCATGGAGCATATTGATTACTCTTTAAATATTTTTTTTAGTTTTTAACTGTGCTAACAGATTGGAACTGTGATAACGGTGAGTGATGCTCAGGTAACAATAAGTATAGCACTTCTTTGCTGTCGACGTCGCATCGTTCAATTATTTCGTATCTATCTATCTATCTATCTATCTATCTATCTATCTATCTATCTATCTATCTATCTATCTCAGATTGCTTCTATCTACATGCAATTCTTTCTTTCTTTGTCTTTCTTTCTTTCTCTCTTTCTTGTCTTCTTTCTTTCTTGCTTGCTTACTCTGCTTCTTTCTTTCTATTTCGTATCTATCTATCTATCTATCTATCTATCTATCTATCTATCTCGACTTGCTTCTATCTATCTACATGCGATTCGTTCTTCCTTACTTCCCTTCTCACTTTCTTTCTTGCTTACTATTTCGTATCTATCTATCTATCTATCTATCTATCTATCTATCTATCTATCTATCTATCTATCACGGATTATTTTCAATCTACAATATGCGATGTATAAAGTATCGTCTAAATTACGCAAAAATGAAAATAACATTGACATCTCATTTAAACTAATATATTTACCAAAATTACACAAAAGTATCTTGAAATATTAAAGAGTACATTTATTCAATAAAATCGCCATTGGCTCCATTCACCGTCTCCAGATGACTTTGGAATTTCTTACAACTCTTCTGGACGATCTCGTTGTTTAAGTTGTTTAAAGTTAAATGGAAACAGATTAACTGAATCCAATTAATTTCCATTTAAGCATTTTTTTTCTCCATTTACTGCAATAATCCGTGTTTTCATTTTTGGTGCTAAAACATGTTCTGTTGGTCTCTCGAACAACTGCGCCCCCCTCCAATCAATCGGGTTAAGTGACCAGATGTATGGAGTGATGTGGTCACAGAAATTGTCTTACAGCCATGGTTCTCCTATTTGTGTTGCATGGTGCAGAATCCTGTTGCCAGACATAGGATCTTCCAGCAGCCACTCTCATGACTAGGGTAGCATTACCACCTCAAGGCACTCGATGTAGGTTCCTAAAACCTACATCTAAATGTAGGTTTCTAAAACCTACATGCCCTCACCACCAGATTCGGTGGTTCTTTTATTATACAGAACGATCAGAGTGAAGTTTCCGAGTTACCATAGCTTTGTAATCGTCATTACACTCATTTAACTATTTCCGAATCCTCTGCACTGTCCTCAGATTGACGCTCAAATTCTTAAATGTTCGTTTTGGCGCGAATGCCAAGCAGTACAAGATACCTCTTCCAAATTTCAGTTGGAGTAAATTGTGTCATGATGCTCTTTTTATTCACAAGAAAAGACTGCGAAAAATATATATATATATATATATGATATTGAGCACTTTATTAAAAAATATAAAAAATAAATGTTTTTAAAAGTATAAAATATTGACAATTTATCCATCGCACCCTGTGTCTACATAGGATTGTTTCTTTCTTTTTTATTCTCCTTCTTTCTTTCTTTCTTTCTTTCTGTCTGTCTATTTCTATATATACATATACATATATATATATATCAGATTGTTTCTGCCTATATACCTATCTATTTCTGATTATTTCTATCTCTCTCAGATTGTTTCTATCTACCTAGAAAATTAAAATTTCTCTCTGTCTCCTTATATATATATATGTGTGTGTGTGTGTGTGTATATATATATATATATATATATATATATATATATATATACATACATATATATATATAAATATATATATATATATATAAATATATATATATATATATAAATATATATATATATATATATATATATATATACACACACACATATATATATATATATATATATATATATATATATATATATATATATATATATATATATATTGATCTCGGATTATTTAATTCTACCTAGGAATGAACCTTTTCTATCTCTCTCTCACTTCCTCTCTATCTCTATCTATATTGGATGGTTTCTATCGAGCAAGGATTTGTTCCATCTCACCCCATTCTTCTGCATCCTTTTAGTTCGTATTGGTTATATCTAACCAAGAATGTTTCCCTTTATCTATATATATGTTCTTTTTCGTCTCTCTTCAGATATTAATTTCTGTCTGTTTACTTCAATATCTTTATATCTGTCTCTCGATCTTTTTCAAGTATTTTCAGTATATATTCCTCAATGCTTGCGTTTCGTGTGTATACATATTAGCACAAACTAATAATGCTTAATATATACATTCTTATCATGATATCTTAAATTGTCATGGGTAAATATTTTCTCATCTGTTCTGTGATGACATTGACAGTACGTTCAATCTTTACTTGCCACTCCACACCTGTGGTTCATTAACAACGAAGCTCATTTTATCTATTTAGCCTTCTGTCTGTTTATCCACTAAGCACCCCTGCGCTTATTTGCTCACACACACACAAAAGGACGCCCACAAAACACACACACACACGCATGCATATATATATATATATATATATATATATATATATATATATATATATATATAGTTAAACCTAGTGAGCCAGACAACCTACCCACCTAAGCGTAGGTTTGTCTGGCTCACTAGGTTTAACAAGGTCTGCTCTACGGTTGTATTGAGCTGTTTTTAGTTAGTTGTTTACTCGTGTCGGTGTTTTTTTTTTTATTTGGGCTTTGGACCTGTATGCTGTACGATTTTTTTCGACAGACTTTCATTTTTATAGCTCTTTCTTTTTTTAAAACCTTTTTTTTTCCTTCGAGATTGATTTGATTATTGGCAAATCAAAATTTTTCGAGACAGTATAGTTACCTATATATATATATATATATATATATATATATATATATATATATATATTAAGAAATATAGCCCTAAGATATGCTATATTTATGGGGAAAAGAGCTCAATACCATAGATAGAGCTTGGGTAAATTTAAAACAGAACATTGAAGTCAACACTTAGAGGCGACAGGCTGTTTCATGATAGACACAATCATCAGGCCACGATCGTTGTGGCCTTACGATTGAGACTAGCATGAAACAGTGTTGACTTCAATGTTCACTTTCATATATATATATATATATATATATATATATATATTTTTCTCCTGCAGTGTTACATTAGAACATGCACATATCCACTACAGCATTGTACATTTTTGTTCCAACGTCAAAAAAAGGGGAAACCTTTTTTAGACGTCTCAACAAACAGGGAATCAGGCTCTTACTAAAAGTTGTTATCCCGAAATACACTTATCGGAGCAAATATCCTCTAATTCCGTTCTTCATCAAATGTTTTCTTGAATTTACATATAGAGATGGAATGGAATCTAATGCATTTTAGTGTTTGAACGCTGCAATCTTACCGTTCATTCTCTTAAACTTTGATATACATACACACACACACACACACACACATATATATATATATATATATATATATATATATATATATATATATGTGTGTGTGTATGTATACACAAAACACACGAGTGAAAACTTTAGAGAGAAAAAGAACAGGACAAAATAATACTAAACAAACAATATATTAGGCAAGAGGAAACGAGGCAATTCAACCATAATAAGGCAACAAATTAACGAAGAAAGAATGGTGTTAAAACGAAAAAAGACATACAGTCAAGTGATTTCATCGTTCTGACTTCAAGACGAAATAGAAGAAAAAACAAAACCAAAGTTTTAAACCCCAGTATACATATATGCATACCTATGTCATCTAATACCCCAAACATCATCAGTGTATTGTCCGGGCGAGAGAAATCATGATCCTTGTTTTCTATTCGTAGATTCGATTGGGATGTGGTATGAAATGTTCACTGTCCCTATATTTTTGGGATTAATGTACTACTTTATAGTACGCACATTTCATATTTATATATATATATATATATATATATATATATATATATATATATATATTTTTCGTTTATAGGTGCAGTTTTAATTTATAATTCCATGAACCATTCATACAAAAAACAAATATAGAGGTTAATGATTTAAATGGCGAGAATACATCTTCATAAACAATTTCAATAAGATACACTAATAATGATATGATATCATATAATGATCTTTATATAAATTGTTTGCATATATGTATGCTCCACATTTATAAATATTTGGGATTGTATGAATGATTCATGTAATTATATATATATATATATATATATATATATATATATATATATATATATATATATATATATGAATAAAAATGACAATAGGAAAACTAGTAATTGCTGACGCGTTTCGTCAATGTGGACTTTATCAAAGCAAAATACGAAAATGAAAAATTTTCCTATTGTCATTTTTATTCATAAATATTGTCTTCTGGTTAAATCGGAGAAATGTTCATATATATATATATATATGTATATATATATATATATATGCTGTAGGTCTCCGTCAGTCAAGTTTGACCAGGGGTAGCATCCTAGTTGTTGTTTGCTTGGGTGGAGCATCGACGTCTGTGACTGTAGAGGCCGATGCGGAAGTGACAATCTCTTTTGCAGATGTCGCATGTGTATTCTGTCTCTGGTCTGTTGGAGCTGTCACTTTGCTTTCTGCGGGTCCGTGTTTCCCTGGCGACTTGTGTCAGCTTCTCCTCCCCTGACTTGAGGTATTTGGTCAGGATTCCTCTCCATTCGGATCATATGGCTGCCAGGCTCTCCCTGGACTCTGTTTTGATGTCCACAGATTTCATCTCACGTACCACCGCTGTTGCCGCCCTGCTGGTCTCCTTCCAGCGACCAGCTCTCCGTACAGGAAGTCTTTGTGGATGGGACCGCCTGGCATACGACGGACATAGCCCAACCCACGGAGTCTGAGCAGTGTGAACATGCTGGGTAAGCCTATTCGAGACAGGAACTCAGTGTTGGGCATCTTATCTTGCCACGCTATTCCCAGGATGCGGCGGTTGCTTCTCATGTGTAAGGTGTTCAGATGCCTTTCTTGCCTGGCGTACGTGGTCCAAGCCTCGCAGCCATATAGCAGTGTACTGATAACGTAGGCGTTGTACACTGCCACCTTGGTCTTCACCGACAGCTTGGGGTTGGTTCACATACGTTTTGTGAGGCGTGTAAGTGTTGTGGCTGCCTTCCTGAGGTTGCCAGTGGTAGTGGAGCCAAGGTACGTGAACTGATGGACCGCATCGTGTTCATAGTTATTAATGCTGTTAACTGATGGTGTTTCGGTAGCTTGTCTCAGTACATTTGTCTTTGTAAGGCTGATGGTCAGCCCGAAGTCTCTGTAGGCCTGGGAGAAATGGTTCATTAGTGACCGGTGTTCACATTGGATGTGAGTCACTACCGCCGCAACGTCGGCGAAAAGCGTGTCTTTAAAAAGGCTTCAAGTACTTTAGTCTTGGCTCTGAAGCGAGCGAGACTGAACAACCCGCCATCTGATCTCGTACGCAGGTAAATCCTTTCTCTTTATGCGCCGAATTCATACTACATATGCAGAGCGAAGAAAATCCCGACAAGTGGGGAAGCCAGGATGCAGCCCTGTTTGACCCCACTGCAGATGTGGAAGGGTTGAGAGGTGCTGCCATTGAACCGCACAGTCCCACGCGTGACGCTGTGGAAGGACTCAATCAAGCTCTGCAGCTTGGGTGGGTAGCCAAACCTGGGCAGGATTCTGACAAGATCGAACGCCTTGGTGAGATCAATAAAAGTGACGTACAGGGCGTTTACCTCTCTCTGCATATCTCTCATATATATATATATACTTCTTTATTATACGATATTACATTCGCTACATAAATGCATTCACGTTTCGATGCGTATCATCGCATCTCATCAGGCGTTGGTGACTGATGCAGTTATGTAGCTGCTGCATATTTTCAATTGTAATATCCCATAATAAAGAATTATCACTCTACCGCTGTACTGAGCCCTATTTTTAAATTAATGTTTGAATCTATATTTCATTCATTCTCATTTCATCTGTATAACACACACACACACACACACACACACACACACACACACACATATATATATATATATATATATATATATATATATATATATATATATATATAAAGACCTACACCCACAGAGAAGGAAATAGACTAAAATGGAGAGGGTGTCATTTAGGAGAACCTTTTAGCCAACACTTTATCAAAAGGAGAACGTTGTAGAATAGAATTAAATTAAATAATCTATGAGACAAATTAAAAGCGAATGATGAAATAGCGAATATATATATATATATATATATATATATATATATATATATATATATATATAATTGTGTGTGTTTGTGTGTGTGTGTGTGTGTGTGTGTGTGTGTGTCGTGTGCATTCCAAACATATAACAACATACTTTGTCTTATTTCCGAAAATCATTTTACTCTAAAATTCAAACAGGTTTATCAATTCTCGTCAATCTCAAGATAGTTTACGTCCCCAGTTTACATATCGGAAACAACTTGCATCTACTTTAAATTTATATTTTCAGTTGAAATATATAGATAGATAGATAGATTCAGACAGACAGACAGACAGACAGACTGAACATAGCTAAATAGACTAAGAGATACAAACAGACATAAAAACAGATAGATCAGAAAGACAGTTGAAATTTTTAGAGAGAGAGAGAGAGAGAGAGAGAGGGATACAGACAGATAGACAGATAGGATATATTGAAGATAGATAAATAAATAAATAAATATGATCAGACTGGGATCGTCGGCAGGATTCGAACCTAGGAACGCATTTTCGAATCCTGCCGGAGAGCGCATATTTTTTTGAATAAGATTTTTCAAAATATCCGGGCCACTAGACGAAAATAAATAAATATACTGTTTGATAAATAAATAAAGCGCCTACTCAAATATGATTATCCACTAAAATTACCGTTTAAATGATAAAAATCTGTCGGATCAATGATATAATATAATATATATATATATAGTGTTATATATTTCTGATTCTGAGGAAGGCATGTATGAAAAAGCTGACATTTTTAAATGTTAAAACATATTATATTTGTGAAATTTATGAATAAAAATTAACGTCTATTTTGCAATGACGTTCATATTACTAAATGATAAATATTTATTTAGAGGATTAACGATGGATATCCTGGGAAGATGTAAATATAAAAATTATTGAACAGGTTGGAAATCGAATAATCTCCATGGGGAAAATAGATTCCAAAATATTTTTCGTTTCTAACTACCTGAACAAAAAGTATAACAATACATTTTCATTAATGGAATAAGTTTTATTCAATTCAATGGCGGGTAAACAACCGTGATTCCTAGGCGTGAAGTTGGTTAAAAATGAAAAAGCGTTTGAAAAACGTTCATTTGAAATAGCAAACTTCAACGAAGTTTCAATTTTGACATCTGTAAAAAAATGTTAAAAGCGTGGAAAATAATTCGTCACCCACAAAAGAGACGTTTGTGCACTCTATTTAGAAAGTTTGATGAACATAAGTATTTCTTTGTACAAATATTTTTCTCTAATAATCACGTTATACTTTGATGTAATTTCAAACAAAATTTCGATCTAAAATAAGTTTTAGACTCAAAATAGAAATTTGTGTTCAAGCCGGAAAATATTTTAAATCGCGAAATTTTTGAAAAAAAAATGAAAACAAATTAACTGAATCCAATTAATTTCCATTTAAGAATATTTTTTTCCTACATATTCTCCATCTTTTTATTAATTAAAATACCGGATTAACCTTGATTTAAATTTCTTGCGCCGAGGTTCGAATCCGGAACTCCGGTTTTCATTTTTTTTTTAATTCATTCTTGAGAACCGTAATAAAAACAAAATTACAGAAACAATAACACATAATAAAATAAATAGAAAAATAACTGTATTAAAAGAAATAAAATTAAATACAAATTTAACAAAACCAAAATTTTCTGACTTTGGGGAATTAAATGAATTACATCATTTAGCGTTCGTCCATAGTTTATGTTTCAAAATAAAAGAAAATAAAAAAATGTTCAGAGAAAGTCTCAAATTCAAAATTTCAAAAAAAACGATATTTTTCCTAAATGTGAAAGAATAAAATAAATAAAATTAAAAGGAACAAAATTTGAACATTTAATTAGATAACGTTCAAGGAACGAAACGCGTTATTATAGAAAAAGATTACCATTGTCTTTTCTGTTATCTATATTCAGAGATGTATTTTATTTATATCTGGAAACAAATCACATAAAAAATTACACAGACACAGGCACACACACACAGAGACACACACTCTATATATATATATATATATATATATATATATATATATATATATATATATAAAGAACTCATCGTTTTTCTTTACTAATCGACAGATTTTATTTCAAAATCTTTTCAGGTTAATAAAAGAAAAAAAATTCATCATTTTCTTACAAATTGCTTTGTTTATATTAGGTTACTAAACTTAGTAGATATGTATACTTCTTTCTTTCTTTCATATATAAATATGCATTTAAATATATATATTCATATATTATATATGATCATTGGGACATTAGATGGGGTGTGTGGGGAGATCTAAAATGTGTAAGATCTAACGACGGTTTTCCTTAACCAGGTTCGAATCTTGACGCAGAGAGCATATTTTCCTTTAATAAAATTTCTCGAACATGCAGAACAATAGACGAAAATAAATAAATACATTGTTTAATAAATAAACGGTCCGTTTACTCAAAATATGTGTGTGTCCAAATAAAATAATATATATATATATATATATATATATATATATATATATATATATATATATATATAAAATAAAACAAACAAATAAATATATAAAAACCGGTGTTCTTATAGATATTTTAATTTTATTTAGTGCTCTAAATTCGACAAATCCCAGATTTTCCTTATAACTAATGCTTTTAAAATAATTGTTTAAAATAAAATTTGGGGTTTTATTCCCATTTTTTTTTGAAACATATTGGAACACACACACACACAATAACCATACACACAATCAATTAATTTATGATATATATATATATATATATATATATATATATATATATATACTCAGTAAAAATCCGTTCCTTGTAATCCACGGTGATAGTCCAATAATATAGAATAATAAAAAGATTGGAATAACAGATATATTACAAACAGGAATATATACATAAATAACATATAATTAATCTTTCAGGTTTAGTAGAGATCAATGTAGTCTTTGACCAGTATCATATTCAATGTCTTGCAGTAATTGTCTGAACTCGACTCTGTTTCTCGTACCTCTGAGTTGACTCTTGACTCGGAGAAACTACTGAATCCTTGCCTTGAATTTCATCTACAGTATCTATCTCTATGGAATAGTCCATTATTATTATTATGGGTAAGATCCCTATATATATATATATATATATATATATATATATATATATATATATATATATATATATTAGTAGGAGGATTTGATAATGATATTTAATTAATTCATCGAGTCTTCTTACTATCTGTGTTTATTTCCTGCAAAAACTAATTATATAGATAGTTTTTGTCCGATATTGCTCCAGAAGGGGCACAGTCCTTGATCCGAAAAGGTTGAACAAAGAACTCAGTTGAGTTCCGCCACGGAATATGTCAGAGCAGTTGATTCCATTCTTTTGAGTCTGATTTGGAACAGTTGGTCGTGTTTTCTTTTTACTATTATAACTGTCATCATATGCTAATTCTCGGTAGTGGATGAGCACTTTGATGAGTCCCAAATATATATATATATATATATATATATATATTCCTGCATTCTGTATATATCATACTCAATATATAAATATATATATATATATAATATGTGTGTGTGTATAAACACATATATACTAGGTTAGGAAAATTCGCCCACCATAGTGGTTAATTAATTAATCATGTTTTAAATATCTAATTTGTTTTGATATTTTCTTTTTTTGTGGAAACCATTTTGGCGAAGTTGTTTATCAGACGTGCCAAAGAAACATTGAAATGTTTAAAGAAATAATTAAATATGAATGCAGTAAAATGACTGAGGAAATTCTCCGACGCGTTAATGAATCAAACAGGCGCAGAATTGAAATGTATTTTGAAAAAGGAGGAGGACATTTTGGACAGCACATATAACAATTAAATAACTAGTAAATAAAATTTTCATCTGTAATTATAATTTTAATAAATTATCCTTATGGTGCGCGATTTTTGCTCACTATATATATATATATATATATATATATATATATATATATATATATATATAAGTTACGAAGAAGTTGGTAAAGCGAATGGGTAATTCAAGGAGGATGAAATCCTGAGAGCTCAATGTGAATACAGAGCTAATATTTAATGAAAAAACAGACCACTTTAAAGTACCATTACAATAATTTATTTCTTAAAATTCTTTTTAAAGGACTCCGGATCATCAGGTAAGACTTCCAACAACGAAATGCAAGGAAAAATGGGATTGGAAATTGATGGGTAGTGTATATATATATATATATATATATATATATATATATATATATATATATATATCTTTGATGGGTAGTGTGTATATATATATATATATATATATATATATATATATATATATCTGAAACCCGTATTATTGAAACTACTCACGTCGACAAGAATAGAACTTGTCCTACATTTTTAAATAAGTGTAAAATTGTCGCTACTTTGCAGAGATCTTTGCCGTAATACTATAGTGTAATATATTTTAATTATGAGAAATTTTGTTGATTAAAAAAAAAAAGAAATTGCTTATATATATATATATATATATATATATAAAAGTATGAACACAAAAGAGCTAGATACATATATATATGTCACATATGTACCAGAGCTTCCTATTAAAATTACAAAACATGCTAATATATCTTCATCATCATCAAATGTAGTTATAGTGCGTCCATTTTTACATCTCTCTCTCTTCTCTCTCTCTCTCTCTCTCTCTCTCTATATATATATATATATATATATATATATATATATTATACATACGTCTGTAGAAACATATAAGCGCATGAATTTACTTAATCGCGTGACCATATATATGTGTGTGTGGGTGTGTATGTGTGTAAATACTTCGACACTATTTATATGCTTTTGGTGTATATGAATTCTAAAAATGCATGGAAGCACACACTCAAACACACACAAATGTATATATATATATATAGTTCATATGTATTTTTGTTTGTTTATATTTTGTCTCCATGTAAGCATAACCTGAGGCGATTCCAGCATTGGGATGTGGGGAAATGTCTTGAGATTTTTATCTTGGCTGAAGAAGTGCTTAATCGGCATCAGTAAGAAGATTCGGCAGAAACTGGCCAATTATTCGAGCCTTTTAGAATGCAATTTGCCCGTTGGCCAGACGACATTAAAACAGCATACAGAGCAAAGGGCCTATTTTTAATTTAAGTCTAAAAAGAAAATGGATCAGACAGAGTTTATATCTGAGTTCATTTCTTCTTTTATCTTTCAAGGAGTTGTGTACATCAAACATTGCATGAGAGATTTCCAGTAAGTATCTGCGCCCTTGCATTTCTATCTATCTATCTATCTATCTATCTATCTATCTATCTATCTTCCGATAAGGTCTTATTCTCTTCATATCTATCTATGATTTTCTCTCTACCATTCTACGTTGGTCACTTAAGTATCTATCTTTCTATCTATTTGTCTATGATTTTTTTCTGTCGTCTTATATATATATATATATATATATATATATATATATATATATTTTTATTGTAAGAGATTATAAAATAAAGATGTTGAAATCGCTATACAAATACTTTCATGTTTCAATACTATGTTTCTTCTTCTTCAGGCCATGGTAAGTAACTGGTAATTAAATGATTTTTAAGGAAATTTAAAAACAAAGTGTTCTCTTTTCCGAAAGTTAAACTAGGGACATAAGGTCAGAATTAAAAATAAACTTGTGGGTATGTCTTGATTAACCAATTAAATGTCAGATCTACGCTAAATAGAAAAGTAAACTCAGAGGGTGGAGGTGGGGGAGTTACTTTTTCATGTCATGATAAAGCGGAACATAGACAGGTTATCATTGACGATTGCAGAAAATATGTCAGCGACAAATATATCGTGACTGTAGACAGATATGACTTGTTCAATTTAAGATGTTAATAATACTAACTGGACGGCAATACATAGCGATATTAAAGCTGAATAAACAAAATAAAGTAATTCCCCATTGAGGGTGGATATATATATGCTAATAAATTATGAATATAAGAAAGGGTAATACGTAATTTTTTTAAATTTATCTATATTTTAAGGTAAAAGATAAACTGTACCGGCAATTTACTGTTAATTAACTCCTAGAGATTTTTTGTCAGCAAATTTAATAATTTGTAATTTTTCATGTAAGCATAAGGAGAACGATTCTTTTAAAGATTTACAAGTTCTAATTTTTAGTATGTTCTATTTTACCGTAGGGCTTTTATTAACATCTTTTAAGTTCTAAAGATATTTAGAAAGGGACGTCCTATTTCCATACGCGTGAATACATGTTGGTACCACCTAGTTTTAAAGGAATTAATGGTACTCCCGATATAACATTTTTAACTTTTGGATTTTCTATAGTAGAAATACTGCATAGGTAAATAAAAGAGTGTTTGACATTTGATTTGCAACGGACATTCGTTAGAATGGCTACCATTACACTTGATGGTATCATCTTCGTTTGCCGCTTTGGAATGGCAATTATTACTCAGGTTTAAATCTTGAATAAAATATTAAAAAATATAATAATAAAATTTTAATCATTACAGATTAAAAATTTTATTATTATATTTTTTAATATTTTATTCAAGATATCAGCTACAGATTATAGCTTAGTTTTAGTGTATTTCTATTAAAAATATTACTAAGCGGTTTGTTTCTGAGGAAGTGTTTCTCAATTAAATGGAAAAAAATTCTGGTTAAATGGGAGTGTGTACCAAATGATTTTTCAGTTTCTATTATTATTCCTACTATCGCTGCTATGTTTTATATATTTGATATCAGTGCACTTATAGCAACGATATATATATATATATATATATATATATTAAGAAATGGACAAGGTCCGACAATTTATTTATTAAAGACATATTTTATGTTTAACGTTGTTATTTTATAGATACAAGTATTTAAGCAAATGCTCTGTTTATGATAAACAGTATTAAATAACATTTACCGGCCTGAATGTCCGAGAAATTTTCATAGAAAATTTTTGTTCTTTGACAAGATTCGAACCTGCATCCTATACGGAACCGTCATATACGCTGACGTGCCTTACCGCTTAGGCTACAAAGAAGCGTTCGGTAGACAAGGTCGAATTTACTGCTTATAAACCCCCACGAGCCACGATTACTCTCTCCAAGCCGCTAAAACTAGAGCATTAGAAGCTGGTTGAAGCAAGGATATAAAAGTGATATAAATTATTAGGAGGATTTGAGATAATCATAATTAAGTAATGAGTTTAACCACGGAATTTGTGACCGAGCGGCGCTGTATAGAGTCTAATTCCTTATCTCTTCGTCACCGAGGCAGGTGTTATACTCGGTATGACTTTTGTTTCTTGTTTTTGTAGGTAAGAATAATTGTTATATTAGCATAATTCAAACATTATATCAAACAGGCAATTATTCTTACCTACAAATACAAGAAGAAATCTTCATAAACATATTTAAACCAGCACTAAATAGATCATAACCCCACACGCAAAAACACGCAACATGCACACATAATGGCCAAATATAGTGCTCGAACCACTCGCATGCATGCGCACACGCTCACACGCGGTAGTCTGTGGAGCACGAATATGTATACGCATATTGGCAAAAACAAATGACTACTCACACAGGCACGCACGCAAGCCCTACACAACGTAGGAAGTGTGTGTATGTGTATGTGTATGTATATATGTAAGTATATGCGAGTGTATGTGTGTATACTAATTCTTTATAATAAAACAGGGTATATGTATGGGGACGGAATGCGCGTGTACATATGCATACAAGTGTATATATGCACACATTGGCAAAAACAAGTCTACATACGGGCACACAAGCGAAACCTACACAACATAGGAATTGTGTATACGTGCGTGTGTATGCGTGTGTATGTATGTATATATGTGTTTACTAATACCTTAATATAATACAGGATATATATAGGGAAAGGGAATATACGTATACATACACATGCTGACAGGAACACACACAACACAAAAAAATGGAAATAAATCGAAGAACACACAGGAATTATTAAAAGATAAGAATACAGATGATATCTTTCCTCGCCCTTTCTCGGACTAATCTTAATTGTTTTATTATCCTTCATGAAGAAGAACATTCTCATTGCCAGTTCAAGGATGACATTTAATGCTTAACATCGAGAATGTTTAACACCGAAAAACATAAGAAAAATTAATTCCTTTTAATAATATGTGGAAATATTCACGCTTTGCCTGGTGAAGGTCGCGAGATCGGAAACCCGTGTAGCAAAATTATGGAAAATAAGGCATAATATATTTTTAAAAAGTCCACATTACAACAAAAAAGTTCGCGGTTACTCTCTTCTTTTTTAATATATATATATATATATATATATATATATATATATATATAATGATGGACCCTCCCGTCGGTTTCGGCGTATGAGGTTCTGACAACTTAATTAATTCAGTTATGAAATTTTGTGCGATAGTCTTCAGTGGCATTTATGACCTGCAATTATTTACAAAGGAGGCCGCATATGGAGCAAGAGTTAGGATTGTGGTATATATATATATATATATATATATATATATATATATATATATATATATATATATATATATATATATATATATATAAGTGTGCCTCTGCCAGGGATCGTAATTTCAACCATTTTTCCCATCAGGAAACCACTATTTATTCAAAGTGTGCCTCTAGCAGTTCCCTTACGTACCCAGTCTGACAGGTTAAGGATAGAATTACCCATTAGGGAAAGCACTTTTTTTTCTTTGGGACTTCTCCGAATCTATATATAATATATTTATTTTTCTCGTCACTGTGTAAAGCACAATGCAATTGGACATTGTAGTTCTGTAGTTGACTACGTCCATGCATGCAACTTTGAATTTTGTTTTCATCGTAAATGGACTAGAAACCATAAAAGGGCTTAAAAGCGGGAAATCCCGCTTGAGGGCAATACTGTCACTAAACAATGTTCTTTGTCATGCGTGGGTCTCAGCTGAACCAACACAAACAGTGGGTTTCATGCCTATCAGAATTTGTCAGTGATTCCCTTTTGGTAAATGTCCATTATATGAAGGAAAAGATGGTAAGTCCAGAACTGACTTTCCCAAAAGACTCCATACATATGGACCACGCAGTTTGGCGTTTTTTTCAGGAAAAAGAAAATTGCATTCTAAATTATATCCTTTTCTAATTTAATCCCATCCTTCTCATCCAATACAGAAATGTATACTTTCCAATTTTAATCCCATTCATCTGTCTATTTTCCTATTTAATACCATCCTTTTAATCCCATCCAAAATATATCATCTCCTATTTTAATCTTACACTTCTAATCCTTTTTTACTAATACCATTATTCTAATCCAATCCGGAAATGTATCCTCTCCTATTTTAAACCCATCCTGAAATGAATTTTTTTCCTATTTTAATCCTATCTTTTGAATCCCATCCTCAAAAAATCTTATTTTAATCCCATCTTTCTAATCCCATCCTGAAATGTACCAGTTCATATTTTAATCCCATCCGGAAATGTAACCGTTCCTATTTTAACCCCATCCATCTAATCCCATCCGGAAATGTAACTGTTCCTATTTTAATCCCATCCTTCTAATCCCATCCGGAAATGTATCCTTTCCTATTTTATCCCATCCTTCTAATCTCATCATAAAATGTATCCGTTCCTATTTTAATCCCATCCTTCTAATCCCATCCTGAAATGTATCCTCTGCTATTTTAATCCCATTTCGAAATGTATCCTCTTCTATCTTAATCCCATCCTGAAATGTATCCTTTCCTATTTTAATCTCATCATTCTAATTCTATCCTGAAATATATCCATTCTTATTTTAATTCCATCCTCAAAAATGTATCCGTTCTTATTTTAATCCTATCCTTCTAATCAATTCTGAAATATATCCGTTCCTATTTTAATCCCATCCCTCTAATCCTATCCTGAAATGTATCCTTTCCTCTTTTAATCCCATCATTTTAAACCCGTTCTGAAACATATCCTTTCCTATTTTAATCCCATCCTTCTAATCCCATCCTTCTAATCCCATCCAGAAATATATTTTTTTCTATTTTAATGCCATCCTTCTAATCCCACCCTGAAATGTTTCCTATCTGTTCTGACCAAGTAATTGGTTAAGAAATAACAAAACAAGAGGTTGCAGATAAATAGTGTATCAGTTGACCAGCGTTCAGTCAATATCACTGTTTCCCTGAGGCTTACATTTCCTCCTACTATGTTACGTGTTGTTTTCCTCTAGTCCCGTGAGTATCAGATTTTCCACGCCCTCTATTCTCATTATATGCCTCAGAAACCTCAACTGTCTCTTCTTGACGTTAAGCAATAGTTTCCTTTTTGTATCCAT